AGGGAACGTCAGTACGGTTCGGTTGTCCCATTTACTTACTTGTTAGTTATCAGTTGTACACACCCATGTGAGTGGTCCGTATACTGTCACGGCCCTGGACTTTTTTCTTTTTTCTTGATTTTTTGTCGTGTTCGCTTGTGAGGAATCTGAAGACTTAGGCTCTGGGAGTTATTTCTGAAGAGATGCGTATCTGTCATAACCAATTTTGCCAATGCTTTTTAGATACTTGGCATACCGAAACTTCATGATCGACACTTACCGCCTCAACCCCCAGGAGTATTTAACCAGCACAGCTTGTCGGAGGAACCTGACCGGAGACGTGTGCGCTGTGATGAGGTAAAGTGCTCCCCCCCCACCGCCCGGTGCAGCCTCGCATTTGAGTAAGACCGCACGTGTCCCGGATGGACAGAAATTACATTTCATTTAGGGTGAATGTTTTTAATATTCAGTTGACTTCTTTTTAAAACCGATTTGCCAGAGGGTGAGTGTACTCACCAAAAAGAAGAGGGGAGAGAGCGAAAGTGAGAAAGGGTCCCCTCCCTCTGTGGGGGATGGCCATGCTGCAGTCTCTCCTCCATTTCTCCTTCCTTTTGGGATTCAAACCGCGCAGCCAGCTGTTTGGGATCCAGCCCTCCTCACTACCACACCACCAGCTGGCGCTCACTTCCCCTCTGTAGATTTTGTCATTTGCGTGCTGGGTTTTGTAAAATCAGCCATACGATGACCAGGGGCGTTGAGTGCGGCGGGTTGTGAGAGGATGAGACCCGTGCCCTACAGCGGTCCAAAGACAGAAGTCGAAATGGGAGTTCTCTGCCGTGAGTTCCTCCCCGTGGGCGTACATGACCGTTTGCTTTCTCGTTTCTCTGAGTGAGACTGGTCGGCCGCATACCAAGTTAGGGGCACTGTGTCACCAGCGTTATTAGGAGTTGGTAGAAATTGCTCCTCCTGTAAGAAACATTTGTCATGCACTTCGTGGTGGTTCACAGCTGCAGAGAGCTTCTTTTGCTGTTGTTGTTAAAAGAGTTTTTTGTCTTAGGGCGTGTGCGCACACGGCGGTGGGTGTGGAGGGGGACACGGAGATGGTGACAGGGAAAGTAAGAGAGCACGCCCTCCCGTGGACGTGGGCATGTACGCGCGCGCGCCTGGTGTGATTTTCAAGCCACTGGTTCCGGGACTCAGACTGTGTCACCCGTGTGAGAGTAATGATGTAACCGCTCTGCCCTCAGCTGGCCTGAGAACATGCTTTCTCTGTTCGGGCAATGATATGATGATGCTTATTGAGGAGAGGAGGTTGATTTTAACTTTCAGAGCTTTTCTCTTTAGAGTTCATGCCTTTTTAGAGCAATGGGGGCTCGTTAATTACCAAGTGGATCCAGAAAGTCGACCCATGGCAATGGGACCACCTCCTACTCCTCACTTCAACGTCTTAGCTGATACCCCGTCTGGGCTCGTGCCTCTGCATCTTCGCTCACCTCAGGTAAGCCATGCTGCCTTGCCCAGGCTGGGGTGCTCACTGACACACAGTACTCCTCCTCGGGAATCCTTTCAGTGTTCTGTAACGGGACTGTTAATGGTTTTGTCTTTAGCTGGGAGTTTGGGCTTGTGTAGTGTGTGTGTGTGTGTGTGTGTGTGTGTGTGTGTAGTGTGTGTGTGTGTAGTGTGTGTGTGTGTGTAGTGTGTGTGTGTAGTGTGTGTGTGTGGTGTGTGTGTGTAGTGTGTGTGTGTGGTGTGTGTGTGTAGTGTGTGTGTGTAGTGTGTGTGTGCGTGTGTGTAGTGTGTGGTGTGTGTGTGGGTGTGTGTAGTGTGTGTGTAGTGTGTGTAGTGTGTGTGTGTAGTGTGTGTGTAGTGTGTGTGTGTAGTGTGTGTGTAGTGTGTGTGTAGTGTGTGTGTGTGTAGTGTGTGTGTGTGTGTAGTGTGTGTGTGTGTGTGTGTGGTCGGGTTGTTGTGACTCTTCAAGTCCATTACGCTATGTATGTTTATAGTGACACCATCCCTTCGGCCCAAGACCTGTACCATAGTAAGTCTGTGATTCGCTAGGAGAAGGCACGGAGTCCCCAGTCCAGTGTTAATTTACTGTCACACAACTGCCTGTCCTTTGTCAGCAGAGACTCTAATAAGCAGGTGACACAGACGTTTCCTTCCCACCGGCAACCGATGCCTTGGGAATATTTATCACAAAACCTCGTAACTTGACCTCTGTGGTTGTCCGTACACATGTTCTTGAAAAGACTATTAAATGAATTGTATCCCAGATTACGTTGAGGTAACATAGACCTAAGCTAGAATTTTCTTGCATTGTGAAATAGAAGAGCATATGAATGCAAATTTGTTGCTTGTCTTTTCTGTGACTTAAAAGGGCAGCAGAAATATTTCTTAGGTGTTGAATTTTTGTCAGTAGTGTAGAGATGCAGGTATTTGTTTGTTTTTATTTTTGTAATAAATCCACAGGCTGTGGTTTAAGTGCCAAGATTAAATATTTGTTGGAAACCTTCTATGCCCTCGACTTTGAAAAGGTTAACATAGCCATTTATCAATTATCTGACTCGTAGGTCCCTGCTGCTCAGCAGATGTTAAATTTTCCAGAGAAGAACAAGGAGAAACCAATTGATTTGCAAAACTTTGGTCTGCGTACTGACATTTACTCCAAGAAAACATTAGCAAAGGTAACAATTTATTTTCTAAACTCACATGGACTACAATCTAATATGTCTTCTTTCTAAGATGTGTCATTTTCTTTACAGAACAAATTTACTTTCTATAGTGGAAGGAAGTGACATTTGTACTAAAATCTGATAGCATTTTATAAATAAATCGCTTATCTTATTCCTTTTTTTCCTATAGGATTAGCACAGAGAATTTGATTAATAACCATGACTAATATATTTAAGGAAATCGAGGGTTAGGAACAGACCATTTGAATAGTGAATTGGGATGTATAAAAACCGCCATGAATGGACTAGCCTGTGACCCAGTGGTTGGGGGAGCTGCAGCCCACACGGCTGACCTTGGAGTTTGAGCCCTAGACTCAGAGGCTTGGAAACAAATGCACCTAGTTTTGTGTGTGTCTGGGGGTGTGGTTGTGTGCGCGCATGCACATGCCCAAACTCTCAGGAAGGAGTGTGGATAGATAGACTGAATCCAGAGCAGCAGGGGAAAAAGAAATCTGTTGGTGGTGGGGAAGAGATTAGAAGGCAAAGAACACAGCATGCAAACGTTACGTAAGATGGAGTCAAAAGAATCATTAAAGACCCTAAAGGAGAGGAGGACTGGAGCAGGGCTTCTGGATTTACAGTGGCTACTCACACCCACACCCACACACTCACTCACTCACACTCATACACATGGGTTTAGAGGAGAATTTACAAGAAGGATTTACAGCAACGTCCTCAGCAGTTTTACCCGGAATAACTAAAAGCATCAACAACCAGAACTGCTCTCGGTAATACAAATTTTGGTTTATTCAAACAATTTAATAATATATAGAAATAAAAAATAAATGATCTACTTCTTCATATAGAAATGTTGTTGAGATCAATATGATACTGAAAAAGAAGCCAGTGGTTTATTAAAACTAAATCCAGATTTTGAAGTATTCTGCCACCTCTGGTCATCACATTCCGAGTACGTGATCTTTCATAGTTGGCTATCAGGTTGGAGTCTAAAGGGGGAACCTTCTGGGTTTTGATTTCAGTGGTGGTACATGGGTATGTAATAATTAATAAGATTGCATCAAGTTATATGCTAAAGACTTAAGTGTATGTATACACATACAGAAAATCTCAATAAATACAAATGAAAATATTTTTACATCTTGGGTGAGCACAGTAAATTCTCAGGGGATCTCATGAGGCTGTCTGTGCTCCCGCTCAGAGCAGCCCTGACTGCCAGCAGGGTAGAAAACTCTGCACTTTGTACCTGAGCAGTGGCGGAATGCTTGCAGAGGGCCTGCCCGGTACAAGTCTGCTTCTGGCTTGTAGAGGCCTTAGGGGTACTTGCTTGGGGTTTGCTTCCTTCATAATCAATTGAAATGTTAATGGATTTTGTTACTCTTGGGTCTCCAGATATGATTGATAGTCATCTGTGTGATTTGGGGTTTATTTGAAAAGAACTTTTACTTGTCTTAAAGTAATCTTCAGGAGATCTGAGTAATACTCATTGTGAGTAATGTGCATATACCTGTTTTCATTTTTATAAAGCTTTAGGACTTTAATTCTGCAGTGCTTAGGTCAACTCTTTTTACTTTAGAGAGAGATTTTTGCTGTAGGGCACCTACACTTGCCAGAGACCAAGAGAGAGAAAGTGATGCAGTGCCCCTTGTGGGGGATGGCCGTACTACAGCTTTTCTCCTCCATTGTCTGGAGTTTGAGCAGACACACATACACATGAACCCAATGTGAATTTCAGGCTTCCAGGTCTGGGACATGAACCGTGGTTGGCCAGGTAGGAGTCCAGTACCTTAACCACTACATCATCTCCTGGCCCCTGTGTTAACTCTTTTTATTCTCTGAAGTCTGTTATTTTGGGTACATTTTTTGTAAAAGAACAGGTATTTCCGAATGCTAATGGATTGAATGCCCCAGAGTCCTGGGTAACTACAAATTAATTTTCACTTGTAGTGTGTAAAATAAGTGCATGTAGAGTTTCAGTCATCTAAGTTGAGAAACTTTATTGACACTAACAAGGAAATCAAGGAAAACCAGAATTTTCTTTTAGTTTAAGTTGTTGTCTTCGATAATAGAGTTTCGAGTGATGGACGTTAGGATGTTTATTTTGAATTAGTAACATTTATAGCTGAAAATAGTATCAACCACTCCACTAGTCCAGTCACTCTATGAATAGAGAAGGGTCTGCAAATCAGGAGGTATGAATCAGTCATTAAGTGGTACATTTTTTTAAAAGGGTTTTTTGCTTTAGGGCGTTTGCACTTGCCCAGAGACAGACCGACAGACAGACAGACATGATGAGAGGGAAAGTGAGAAATCACCCTGCCGGGGGAATGGCCATACCACAATCCCTTCTCCATTCTTCTCCCAGGATCCTGGGGAGACACACACACACACACGCACACACGCACGCACACGCACAACGCGGTTTTGAAGCCACAGGACTCAAACTGCAGTTGGTCCACATAGGAGTCTAGCGACATAACTGCCACACCATCTGCTGGTCCCTAAATGGTAAGTTTTATACAGTAGAAACTCAGTTTTCTTTTCATACCAAATGCTCCCGTTCATTGTAAGCTATAGAGGACTCACATGGAAAAGATGTGGAGTTTAGGGAATCACAAGTGTCCTCATTACGTTTGTATATGCTACAGCTGACTCAGCATTAAAATACTGGGCTTCTGTAGCTCATAAAAGCAATTTTTAATTATCAAAGTAACAGAAAAAACATTTACAAATAGTTCATGTGTCACTGAGAGCAAGAGAATTTGGAAGTAGCCAGGCCTTTGGTTGTAAGTTTCGGTTCTCAGTTTGCTCCTGTCATCCGGGCACGTGGCAGAGGGTGTGGGATGATGCCCTGTGCTGAAGCAGGGATTGTCTGTGCTTCGTGGTCAGCCTGTAAGAGTGAGCAGACACGGCTAGTCTGTGGCAGTGCTTACGGCAGTCGGATCCCACAGGCCAACCTGGGTTTGAACGCTGGCCATGATGACTTGAGCACACTGGCCACATATGCGTGGCCCCAGATTCCATTAGGGCAGAGCGGTGGGGAAGGAAGATCATAGCGTGACTACGCCCCATTGGGACTGCTTTCCCTCTCCTGGTGAGCACATGTGTCCTCTGGCAGAACAAAAAGCGAGCAAATAATTTCTCATTTTGTTTCTTTAGAGCAAAGGAGCTAGTGCTGGAAGAGAATGGACCGAGCAAGAGACCCTTCTCCTCCTGGAGGTAAGCTGGGAATGACTCTGACTGGCTTCTCAGGGATACCTATGCTGTTGAATTAAATGTGTCTAATTGACCTTAAAACTGAATCCATCTCACCAGCGCTCTCCCTGCAGACAGGTACTTTGATAGCCAATAGTCCTTTTGAGCACCTTCCATTTTATAGTGAAGTATATATATATATTTAAGAATTATTTTTAAAATTTTTTTGAGGTTTTTGCAATGGGTCGCGTTCACTCACCAAAAAGACAGAGACAGACAGAGACAGAAAGCATGAAATCACCCCCCAGGGGGGATGGCCACACCTCAATCCCTTCTCCTCCATTCTCCTCTCTGGATCTTGGGCATGCACTCACACGCACGCGCCCAGCGTGAGTTTAAGCCACTAGGTCCAGGACTCAAACTGCAGTCGACTACACGGGAGGCCAGCGACATAGCCATTACGCTAACTGCTGGTCCCATTTTATTTAACTTACTTATTATTATTATTTTTTTTCAGTTTGATCAGAGAGAGAAAGGAAGAAAGCAAGCCACCAGTTTCAGGACTTGAACTGTGGTTGGCCATGTGAGAGTCCAATGCCTTTAACCAGCAAGCCACCTGCTGACTCCTCCCCCATTGTGAAGTATACCAAAAACATATGTACCTCCACATTTAGATTTCACAAAGTTCAAAATCTTTAGTTTCATCATGAAAAATTGACCGTAAACTGACTTGTTTCGGTGTGCCCACGTGACAGGGAAAGAACAGGTGTCTGGACCATTGGGTGTTCCCACCTAGGTCTGTGCGAGGCGCGAGGCACCAGGCGCACTGCCTTTTCGCTGTCAGAGTGAATGTCGGCGTAGCAGCAAGGGCTGTGGAGCCTTGGTATTACCGCAGCGGTCGTCTGATCTTGCTGAGAGGGACGGCATGCCTCAGGCCCTCAGGCCACACCTGGACCTAGCTGGGCCTGGTGACGTCTCGATTTCGTTTCACTTAGATTTGGTTGTTCCAACGTGTGAGTCCTTTAGAAGTTCTCGTGGAACGTTAAGCTATTTCTTTTCCTTGTTGTTTACTCCTCCACTGGTTTTTATTCTCTTCTCTTTCCCACTCAGTCAAAATCCAGAAAAGCTTCTTGTTGTGGAGTACTTTCCACTGATTAATTTACTCGCAGCTCCACAGTTGGTGCCGGTGATGTGCAGAGAGCTGCTCTTCTGGCCACTTCTTGTGTTTGCAGAAAGGTTTCCTCTAGCTGTTATCTGCCACTGGTGCTAATGAAAAGAACAGCACTCTCAGTACTTGAGGGGAGCATCGCATGCATTCGTGCTGCTATTTTGGAATCTTGCAGCTCTGGGGACAAATGGAGTTGTCCGACTAGAAGCTGCTCATTGATGCTCCCCCCCCCCCCCCCCGTGATACATTCAAGACTGGCAAATAGTAAATGCAGAGTGAGGTTGGGATGACTGAGCTGTCGTTTACTTCGGCCACGCCCAAGAAAACCACAGTGTCCTCACACAGCGTGCGTTTTCTCTCCTGCAGGTGGGATCTCTGCAGGGTGGGTTTCCCTTAAACGTGCAGTTGAGTCAACAGGTATTGTCTGCACATACACAGAGAAATAAAGGACTTCCCGACAGCATTGTTTACCCTAGCACCTAACACTGACGTGGTTTATTTAGTGGTGATTAGCAGCTTAAGAACAAGAAGTGAGATGGAAAATTTTAATGGATTTATAAACACACACACACAGTTTCCCTAATAAACTGAAAAATCTGGTGAACTTACTGGGGTTCATTGTTTCCAGAAAGCATCGTAAAATTTCATTAGACAAACATATTACACAGGCAGTGTTCAGGATTGTTCCGACTATTCTTGAGACCATCACTTTTTTATTTAAGATGAAATTTTTTTTTAAGAATTGCTTATTTAAATTTATTTATTTAGTTAGTTCAACTTAACCAGAGAGGGACAGAGTCAAAGAGAGAGAAAGCAAGCCACCAGGTCTGGGACTCAAACCACCAGTGGCCGTGTGGGAGTCCCGCGCCCCCAACCACCGTGGCATCTGCTGGCCTCAAGACCACCTGCTTTTATTTTAAGACCTGACTTGATAAGGTTTCAATGAGAGCATAATTTTAGGTGGATGGTGAAGGGCAGTGTCTTCAGTCATGTCTAGTTCATTATCTTGTTACAGATATCAAAGGGACAATTTCGGTTTTGCAGATAAACCTAACTAGAATGGATGCATGGGATGAAGGAATTTGGTTTGAAAGATACAGGAGAAATTAAGGATAATGTAAGGTTTGATATTATTAGCTCTTTTGTTATAAAGATATTTTATAGGGCCAGCAGGTGGTGTGGTAGTTAAAATTGCTGGACTCCCACATGGCTGACCACCGTTTGAGTCCCAGACCTGAAAGCTTGCTTTCTCACTTTCCCTTTCTCTCTCTCTCTCTCTCTGTCTTTGGTCAATTTTAAAAAATAATAATAACAAATGGAATTAAGTACATAATTTTTTAAAAAAAATTCTTAAAAGAGCAATATGATGAAGGCTTGTTCCAGTAAGATTTTAGTTGTGAAAAAGCGGTTAGGGGTCTAGCAGGGGGTAAGGCGCTGGACTCCCACATGGCCGAACATGGTTCAAGTCCCAGACCTGGTGGCTTGCTTTCTCTTTTCTTTTCTCTCGCTTGCTCTCTGTCTCTGTCTCTCTTTGGTGAATTAAAACAATAATAAATAAAAAATAAACTCTTTAACAAAGTTGCTGGGTGCATGGATATCGAAACACAGGATCAGTCGCAGTTTCAGAACTGGCTCAGGCAGCTCGAAGGGCACGGCGGATTTGTCTTTCTGTGCCTAAAACCCTGACAGGGTGGAGAGATGGGCGAGGAGGGGCTGTGTCGCCATGGCGCCCATGCGGTATGCGTCTTCTGCCCCTCTGTCCGTCTCTGGCGCCTGTCCTCTGCCACGTTGAGCCGATACATAGATAAGTAGAGGCGCGGGCGTTCGATGTCGCGAGTATGACCCGTCTAACGCCGTGCCCGCCCTGTCTGTTGCAGGCCTTGGAGATGTACAAGGATGACTGGAACAAGGTGTCGGAGCATGTCGGGAGCCGCACGCAGGACGAATGCATCCTGCACTTTTTGAGGCTTCCCATTGAAGACCCGTACCTTGAGAATTCCGACGCGTCCCTGGGGCCCCTGGCCTACCAGCCTGTGCCCTTCAGCCAGTCAGGAAACCCGGTCATGAGTACTGTCGCCTTCTTGGCGTCCGTGGTGGACCCTCGCGTGGCATCTGCTGCGGCAAAGGCAGCTTTAGGTATGGGCTGCCTCAGCCGTCTGTGCAGTGTGCAGCTTACCCTGTCTCGGTTACATGCTGCCAGCTGTTAGGTCCACTTCTCGGCAGTCGGATCTCTTAACAAGGCCACGTGCTTTATAAAAGTATTACATTTCAATCAAATACTCACACTATAGTAGTTTATAAACTCAGAGCTTTTATTAAGAATTGGAGGTGGACCAGCAGGTAGTGTGGTAGTAAGGCACTGGACTTCCCTCATGGCTGACCACAGTTCGCGTCCTGGACCTGGTGGCTTGCTTCCTCAGTTTCCCCTTTTCTTTCTCTGATCAAATTAGGAATAATAATAAATAAATAAATATTAATAAATAATTCTAAAAAGGACTGGAGGTGCCAACTCTGAGGTGCATGATGAAGTGCTGCTCGAGAGAAGCCAGATCCCATGTGGTGACCATGGTTCAGGTGCCCAGCCCAGTTGGTCTGACACACTGCGCCCAGGACGTGAGTGGCCGGAGGACTGGGGGAAGGGGCTCCTGGCCTGACGGGCCTGTGCAGGGTGCTCATGTCTCTCTGCCTCCTTCTCCCATGTACATACACACGCTCTGTTATGAATAAGGAAAAGAGAAAGGAGTAGAAAAGTGAAATTTGCTGTAATTGGGAGACGTAATTTATAATCTTAGATTATATTAATCATAACTAGAACTTTCTGACACCATAGAGTTCTTTCTTGTGTTTATGGTCACTTAATCCTTATTTCCTTTCTTATTAAAGACAATGTTTATTTCTTCCATATTCGAGATTGACAGGCACACCTAAAGAGGATCCATGCTGTGATCCACCCCAGCCTCAGGCAGCCCGATGCCGGGCAGTATCTGTGTGCTCGAACATCCCAGGGTACGGCAGGCCTGAGGCACTACCCTGGGGTCTTCCCACGTGGGTCAGCACCCAGAGTATTGTGTAATCGTCCTTTCGTCATCTGGCCTAGCCCTTGTTGTTTTCTTGGTTTTTAATCTACTCAACAGTTCAGTGAGATCTGGTTTGCAATTTTAATGGTTCTTGATAGATTTTTTTTTTTTTTTTTAGTGAGATGTTCGCTATAGGGTGCATGCGCTCACCAGAGAAACAGAAGGTGGAAAATCACCCCCAAGGGATGGCCATGCTATAATCCCTTCTCCATTTTCCTCTCGGAATTTTGGGCACGTACACACGTATGCACACATGCCCGAAATGAGTTGAGTTGGTTTTTTTTTTTTTTAATATTTATTTTATTTTACTTGCTGTTACTATTTATTCTTTTAAATTTGACCAGACAGAGAGAGAGAAAAAAAGGGAAAGTAAGAAAGCAAGCCACCAGGTCCAGGACTCAGACCATGGCCAGGTATTTAGGAGTGCAGCACCCCAACCATCATGCCACCTGCTGGCACCCTGTGTATATTTTATGCCTGTAGGTCTGGGACTCAAACCTCAGTCTACTACGTGGGAGTCTAGCAGTATAACCATTATGCCGTCTGCTGGTCCCCTGATATTAAATTTTAAGATCTCTCTTGTTTGTAGTGCAAGATGTTGTAACATGTAGGATAAAACCTAGAGTCATAAAGTTTTATGACATTATCTTATTTGACTCTCCTGTCTTGCTAGTATGGGAACTGAGTCCCCAAAGAGGTTACTGTCTAAAACATATTATATTGTATGTTCTAGTCATCTTAAAGCAGAGATTTATACAAAACAATTACTTTTCCATTTTTATTCTTGAACCAGAGGAGTTTTCTCGGGTTCGGGAGGAGGTACCACTGGAATTGGTTGAAGCTCATGTCAAGAAAGTTCAAGAAGCAGCCCGAGCCTCTGGGAAGGTGGATCCCACCTACGGCCTGGAGAGCAGCTGCATTGCAGGCACTGGGCCTGAGGAGCCAGAGAAGCTTGGTGAGTCACCGGCAGGGTCACTCGATGGACATACCCCTGTGAGCATGCTGACGAAAGTGTGCTCGCAGTGATCAGCATGAGGTGTGTCTAAGAGTAGGTTTTGGTTTTTTGTCTTCTTTATGGTAGCCACAACTGAAAACCGTCCTCTAACTGCCAGCAGTGTCGTGGTTGTGGGTTATCTGATGGCTGTTGGTGGATGGATGTTTTGAGCACATAGAGATAAGAATACTGAAGACTCAGTTATTTTAATTAGTGTGTTACCTGGTGGGTTTGAAGTCATTGCTTTTGCTTTTTAACTGAGGTAAAATTCCTATCACATAAAAGTCTTGATTGTAGCTATCTCAAAGTATGTAACCCCCTAGTTTCTAGTATAATCACAGAACTCCACATCCGCTGCCGTTCTCTGATCCAGAACACTTTCATTACACTCCAAGGAAACCTCAGTCCCATTAAGCCGTCGTCCCAGTTTGTTGTGCTCAGCCCCGTGCCAGGAGCCGCAGATCTGCTTCCTGTCTCTGCACGTCACCCTTCTGACGTGGCCTGTGAACAGAACCCCTGGGCCGCTGACCCTTCGTGCCTAGGTGCTTTTGCTCAGCGTAGCGTTTTCAAGGTTTATCCATCTCCTAGCGTAAATTAGTTATTTCATTCCTTTCTGTGCCGAAAATACTACGTTTAGTTTATCTGTTTATTCCTTCGTCTCTCTTTCTACTTTTATACTCTTAACAAATAATGCTGCCATGAACACTTGTGTACAAGGCTTGTTGTGAACAGAAGTTTTTGGCTTCTCCTGAGTATAACTCTAGTAGTGGAACTTCTGAGCCATGTGCTAATTCTGTTTAACCTTTTCGGAAACTTCTAAATTGTTTAACAGTGGCCTCATCGCTCCTACCAGTAATGAATGTATGGGTATCCTGACTATCTTTACATGTTCTTATTTGCCATATGTGTATCTTCCTTGGAAAATGTTTATTGGAATGTTTGCCCCATTATTAAAAAAGACTTTTTAGAGTAGATTTAGTCAGGTTTTTTTTTAAAGAGTTATTTATTGTCTTTTTTTTTCCAAAATTATTTTATTTAACTTTATTTATTTTAACTTGACCTGAGAGGGACAGTGTGTGAGAGAGAGGGAAATTGCGACTCAAACCACAGTCGGCCATGTGGGAGTCCAGCGCCCTCAACCACCACACCACCTGCCAGCCCCAATCATTATTCTTTAATTTAACCAGAGAGAGCGAGAGGAAGTGAGAAAGCAAGCCACCAGGTTTGGGACGTGAACCGTGGTCGGCCATGTGGAACCCAGCACCTCGACTACCATGCCACCTGCTAGCCGCGAGAGTAGTCTTAGGTTCTGAAGACAAATGGGTAAAAAGTACAGAGTTCCCTGTAGCACCTCGTCTCACACATGCAGCATCTTCCCCTGTCGTCGCGCACCAGACTGGTGCATGTTACGGCTGATAAACCCGTGCTGGCACGCCATCACCTGAGACCCACTCCTGCTGTCCCTGCGTAAGTTTTGAGAATCTAGGACATACTCCGCCATTGTAAAATCGTGCCGATGTGACAGTCGTGGCTGTCCTTAAAGTCTTTGGTGCTCTGCCTATTTGTCCCTTCCTTCCCTCATGTCCTTGGCATCTGCTGGTCCCTACTGTCTCCATAGTTTTGCTTTTTCCAGAAAATCCTATGGTTGGATTATGCAACGCGTAGCCGTTTCAGAGTTCTCCTGTTGGCAGTTCCATTCGTTGCAGTTTCTTTGCTCCATTGTGTTGCTTTTGCTTCTGTTCCAAAGATCTATGTATTTAAAAATAGTTCAAATCTGTATCTCTGTGGGTCTCTTTGGGCTCTCTGTTACTTCTCCAGTACAATACTATCTTGATTACTGTAGGTTTGGCTTTTATCAAAAAAATTTGTTTATTTTCGCTGTGGAGTGTGTGAGCTGGACAGAGAAACAAAGAGAAAGTGAGAAATCATCCCCCACCCCTACCCCCCAGGGGATGGCCACACTGCAATCTCTTGTCCATTCTCTTCCTGGGATTTGGGGCACATATGCATACGTGCCTGGTCTGTCAAGCTGCTGGATCTCGGACTTGAACTGCAGTCGGCCATGTGGGAGTCCAGCACCTCTACCACTATGCCGACTGCTGACCCCATGTTTTGTGTTTTACATTTCAGATTGCACTTGTGCATTGCTGTTATGTTGGACAGCAGTTATCTTACATTATGTAATGTGGCCATAATTGCTTATTCGTTTCAGGAGAATTGTTATTGTTTTTGACCTCGTAGAGTATTCTGCATAGTTAATATTACACAAAGATGTTTCATTTACTTTTTCCAAATCTGTGTACCTTTTATTTCCTTTACTTATCTCATTGTATCACTAGGACTTCCTGTATGATACAGAAAAGAAAGAGTGAGAGGACCTCTTGGCTTTATTTCTCCCATTAGCATGAAAGCTATGAATAATTTCTCACCAATAAGTGTAATATTAGCTGGAAATTCGTGTGGATACTCTATCAAGTTATGGAAGTTCTTCAGCATTCTTATTTGCTGTGCATTTTTATGATGAAAATGCATTTGTTTTTGTCAGATCGCTTTTCTGAATCTGTTGAAGGATCTTGTGATCGGCTTTGTTGGCCTGTAGATGCGATGGGTTGCATCAGCTGCGTTTTGAATCTTGAACTGGTCTTTCATAGTTTGGATAAGTCCTCCTTACTATGGGTCTCTTTTTTTATATTAGGTCATTAGGAAAGTTATGATGTATTTTTCTATTTTTTTAATGCAAAAATGTGTCATGACTTTCCTGATGACCCAGTACATTGGTGGATTCAATTTGCTAATTTTTTGGGGGGGGGGGAATTTTTGAATCAGTGTTCATTAAACATAGTATTTTGTAATTTTCTTTTCACATAATGTCTTCAGTTTCAGTATTAAATTAATACTAGGCTTATAGAATGAGTTAGGAAGTATTTATTCTGTGTCTTTTGGAACAAATGGTAAAGAATCGATACTATTTCATCCTTAAGGAGAAGATTCTACCCTCGCCCAATGTTTTATCGGGTTGTTATTCTTTATTGATATGCGTTCTTTCCGTACTCTGGACACTAGATCCTTACCAGATACATGATTTGCAAATGCTTATTCCTATTCTGTGAGTTGTCTTTTCACTTTATTTATTTTTTGATTAAAGAATTATTTATCTAATTTTGCATATTATTCTTCAACTTGACCAGAGAGGGAGAAGGAGCACGAGAAATAAAGCTGACAGCACCAGGACTTGAACCGCAGTTACCCCTCTGGGATCTAGCACCTTCACCACCATGCCTCCTCCCAGACCTGTCTTCTTACATTCATTATGGTCTTTTTTCAATAACACAGAAATGGTAAATGTTTGTAAAATGCTATTTATTTATTCTTTTTGCTGCACGTGCTCCGAGTGTCATGCCTAAGAATTTATTGCCAAAGGCATGGTTTACCACTGTCTTCTCTCCCAAGAGTTTGTGGTGCTGCTTTTTTTCAGATTTACCAGGGGATGTGTGCTCTCCAGAGTGAGAGAGAGGAGAAGGTGAGAAAGCACCCCGGATGGGGAATGGTCAGGGCACATCGCTTTTCTAACTCTCCCTCCTTTTGGGATTTTGAGTTTGCGTGACACGTACCTGGCGTGTTTCTCAAGCTGCTGAGTCTGGACCTAGCAACTCCACAGTCAGCCATGTGAGATCCAGCTGCCCTAATCTCTAGTTATATATTTTTAGAGAGAGTTTTTTTTATTTTTGCCATAGGGCGTGTGCACTCCCAGAGAGACAGACAAAGAATCACCCCCTAGAGGGAAGGCCATGTTGGAATCCCTTCTCTTCCATTCTCCTCTCGGGATTTTTGGCATTCATGCACTTGCACCTGGCATGAGTTTCATACCACAGGGTCCGGGACTTGAACTGCGGTCAGCCACGTAGGAGTCTAGCACCTTAACCACTGCACCACCTGCCGACCCCTTAATTGTTCTTAGTGGTGATTACATCCTGAGTGCCACATGTATTTTGATTTTAAAAGCATTTCGAGAGTGTCTACAGTAATTCTTAGCTTGAAAACTCATTTATTTTTCCCTTTTCTTAGATGGAAACTAAAATTAGCAGTCGAAGGTGTGTCACTGTTGCTCTTTGTCGGCTCTGCAACTTTAGATAGTGCCCAGCTTAGGTGGGGAGAACCTGGGGCCAGTGGATTTCTGGTTCTTACTTTTCTCAACTTTGTGTGCGTGAGTTTGGGTTTATTTTTCGGGTTTTTTGGTTCCCTATGGTCATGCATTGTAAAGGATTGCAAATACCGCAGTAGTGGACAGTTTGTCAATTTAGCCACCTTTACGTCAGTGGGATTGTAACAGAGAAGTAAAAACCACCTTGCAGCCTTAACTTCAGGGTGGCTGAGACTCCTGATGAACTAGTGCCTGTGTCGTTTCCACACATCCATGACGCCGCAAGCTGCGAGCGTTCCTGCCGCTAGACGCACTTGAGACCACAGGGCTGGTCTCTGAGTGGCACAGACAAAAGTCATTCACATCCACCTGGAAGCTGCTTCTCGGATAACCTCTCCCAGGGGGCAAGTCTACATACTAGCTGCAGCAACCAAATTCGGGTCCTTCTATGATTAGTAAAGGCCGTGTGAAATCTCACTGTAGATGAAGATTCCTGAATGAGTTGTGACCAGCTTCTGTAACTCATCCTGGCCTGTTACAGTTAATAGGATTTATATTGGGCTATGACTAATGGCATAAATTAGGAAACAGCAAATGTGTCTCCTTCGGGAATTGCCATCGCAGTTGTAGTGGCAAGTCCACAGCGTATCGTGTTCCATACAACAAACAGTTGGTGCCGTGTTCCGCACACTGATGGCGCAGAGCGTGTGCAGTCGTGGCGGTGTCGTCGGGTGCTGGGGGCTGGCTTCATTGGTACTGTGTCTTATATTGCTTGATTTAGAATTTTTTTTGTGTATGTTAAGAATGGTAACATTATAAT